CATCAGTTGTTCTTAGACAAAAAATAGATGTCTACGATTTCTTTCTCGATATGAAGATGTTTGCCGCTCAGTTAGCGTAACTACTTTGGGAGAACATTCCTTCGGGTTGACGCACTGCAGTTACGAAATTCAGTGTCTCCTTAGGCTTCGATTTAGCGTTCCGATATCCAAGATATGAGTTCCTGTATAAGATTCTGACCGCAATACTCATCAGTCGGGCTTACTCTAAAAAGTTGGCTATATCCGAGAAACTAAGACATAAACACATCAGGATCCTCTAAGCTGGACAGTCATGGGACAAATTTCGACTACATACTAAGATCTGCGACTTCTTAGGATACAACATGGGACAGACTTGAGGAGATGCACCGCTTAAACGAAATGGAATGTGGCGAGCAATCTGTCTTTCACCAATGAGACGTAATCATGAGAATGACTGGCTTCTGAACCTCCTCAGTGCCACTGAATGAAGACGCAACACCTACAGCCAGTTCCAAATGTACTGACGGCGTCGATCTGCACGCACATCAAAATTTAGCTATTTCAACACAAACACTAGCCTGACAGTGTTAGCAATGAAAAACAACAAATTCAATTTCACCCAACTCTTGTTTGAACAGTAGCCCTCAAGTCCTGATGCATTAATTCTGGTGAGTCCAAATCAAACGTGGAAAGCACTGCACTCGAGTTTTGCTCTTGAAAATAATCAGTTTGGAAGAAAGCGGGGTTTATCTCAACCACGCAAAAAAGTGTTTTTTTCTTTGGAGCAATTTTTCTCAAACGGAATTTTCTAGCATGGAAAGACAAATTTGACAAATTCCCGGAATAAGTTGGCATGTAGTGGTGCACCCTCCCTCGTTCAGGGACACTTATGAATGTTAGTCTCTTCATCCGGGTATCCGAAAGACGTAATTTCTCGTATGCACTACGCCCGTCATCAGTTAATGACACACCATTGGTCCATTAATCAATTTGGACAGTCTCGGCGGAATATACAGCCTCCTGTCGGATGACTGTCTGGTAGCAGTAATCTTGTTCGTTCAGTTGCTGACTGAACAAGTCATTCATCATCACCAGGGAACCGTGTTCGTTGAATGGCGCGGAATTTTGCGCAACCATTCCGTGGAAATATACATTCATTGTTTGAAACCTGGTGTGAATGTAACCGACTGTGTTTGATTTCCTGACTGCATCAGTCAAGAAACATGGAGAAATGATTCCTTTACACTGGCCCTGTCACTGCACTCAGGAACAAAATCAAAGATGGATTTGAACGCATTGATCGATAGGCTCACTCGTTTCCCTATCTGTCGTCGGCGATGGATCGATTACTAGGTCACAAACAAATTCATCTGTCAGGAAAGCCGACACAACTTCCTATTCAAGGTTTGCTACTCCCGTTTTTCCCCATATTTGACATCCACAGTGCATTACTCTGGTATGTATTGGGTGGTTTCTGATATGGGTGTATCTAGAATATTCAAAATCAGATTGGATGAGACTTCGCTGGACAAACATTTGTTTAAATTTTTGGGTACGAAATGACAAATCAGTAGTACTCAAGGTAAAATGGGTGAAGAACACAAACCCTCCTCACACGGCAATCATTCTACAAGTGTCTCATAGGAAGAATAATTACACTAGATCAGCGGGACTTTCATTTGAAAAGTCATCACTGGTGGAGTCAATCAATACATGACCACGTGATGCGTTTCCCGCAATTGAAGCATGAACGGCGCTAAGTCAGTAAGGGCTGATCAACCGCTTCTGGCCGAACGGTTATGTGTTTAAACTAACAGCTGGGAGGTCTCGAGTTCGAAACTCTCTCACTTTCGTGGGATACGCACTGCTGATGGTTCCCAATAGGGACGAAACAACTGTACAGTGCTTCTTGGATTTTCGCTATAAATTGCCTTCATTTATAGGAAAAATCTCATTTGAAAATGATGGCGGATAGTTTTGAGTCCGCAACAATTTCAGGAACGCTAAAAGCAATATTTTGGTCCTTGAATGTCCTCAAACCTCGGTGCACAGTTTTCTCGAAATTCAGACCTGATTAGGCAGTCTGGAAGCTGCATGTCTGGCTGGATTAGTCTTAGGCAGAGACCAAATTGAGTTTTAATTTGCTCCTCTATTTGCGCAACGCGATGATCGTGTACATGATGTTTATCTACGCCCCCTGCATTTGTCTGAAAATTCACTAGCAAACATCTTTGTCTTGTGTTATCGTTTTGTAACAATCCTAAGCGTTGCTGCAAATTCACATGACGCCACGTGGATCCAAGGTCAGTTTCCTTCGAACACTTTCCTAGAATAGTATCGTGCGTAGAGTGTCGCTTTAATATCCCTCATCTTGCCAGCACGCCGTCAAACGGAGTTTCGGAAACCAGCCCACACTCAGAGATATCACCACATACCTACGGTAGGTTTTTTCGCTGTAAAACCTTTTTGAAACACTTGTAGCGCATGATTTCTTAGTATGCTTACTTGCTTTGTCCAATGCATGGTTAACTGGATCAATTGTGCCAGCAAGACAGCTGCACAGAGGTCACATGACTTGACTCGGCTGTGCACACATCTACCTACTGCAGGACGTTTCCCATTTCTACTTCCACCTGTTCACAAGAAGCAAGGTGTAGAATAGTGATCGTACGCACCTTCTGAATCAACATTCCGTAAGGTATATAAGTTAAGTGAGGGCTACTCGCACTGTGGTTTAGCCGCTGGTGGCCAAATGTTCAAGTGCTCAGTCAGTGGCTGGGAGTTTTGTCAAACGCTCCTTGCTTGCGATCCCAGTGTGGATGAAACTTCCGTACATTGCGTCTCGTCTTTCAGGATAGATTGGCCTCACACAGAGGAAGAAGGATAGATTAGCCTCACACAGAGGAAGAAATCTGTGTTGCAAGTACTATTTATCGGTTTTCGGTCCGAAACCACTCAGTGGGCGCTGTACATGATAATTTGGTCAAATCAAATAAAAAATTCCGCCAACAGGACCACGTGGGATTGTCACGTATCGTTTGATCACACCTTCCTCGGATTTCGGATCTCATTAAGAAGTCTGGAAACTTCATATCTGGTTGGGAATTGTTGGGCGGAGACCTAGTCAAGTCCTAATTAGATCCCCTATTTGCACAACACAGTATGCAAATGAGTGTTCACTAATTAACTCTCAGTGAGTGGTTGGATAAATCACGAGTGCGCCAGCGGAGCTGGAAAATGAGTCCACTCTTGAATAGTCTGAGCAGCATGCCGAATTGGGACACATCTGGCACATCGAGCTTACCAGTGCTGCGATAACTGAAACTTCCATCTCGGGACCAGATGGACAGTGGGTGAGGAGTGTACTTCTCCGCAACTGAGTCGTTCACCACTCGCATGTGTGATGTATACATAAAAAAATATAAGGGCTGGCTGAACAGTGTTTTCTTCCGAAGGATTCGACCACTACGCTCATCGTCCACACTTGGTAAAGTGGTGCTTTTGGACGATGAGTCAACCTCATCGTGGAGCATGCACGTTACAGGAACGAAGAAATGAGATGACTCCCCATTCACCTGAGTAAAAGGACAGTATGCTATTCACTCCAATCGTTCAATCAACGCCCCCTACTAGAAGATAAATCGAGCAGGCTTTTGTTGCCCATACAGCTCTGACTCAATCCATAGTTGGAAACGCGACAACCGTAATTATCTTATCCATGTCATAACATGCTTCAGGCAAAAGTGCATGCCCCAGAGAGAGTGTTTCCGCTGTGTTTTGTCTGGTCCTTGAGATCCTGCACTCAAATTCATTATGCTCAATCTCACCTCCGACATACGAAGCCAGGAATTGGCACTGTACCTCGAGGTGATTTAAACTTGCCAGACCGGTGGATATATTTAGCTACATGTGTACCATAAGCCTATCGAAGTGGTTCAAGACGCCGAGTTGTCAGCAATTTTTGCTTCTCAGACAGAAGACATGTATGGAGTGGTTTACTGTATCCCAGAAACAGTGCCTCCGGTGTGTTCGCTCGATTCCTTGTGGTGCTTCTGGAATGCATGTAGACGGGATTCGTCACTCCAATATTGACTGAATCAGGGATGAATTGACGGCAGCATTGTAATTGCCTTTTGATTTGTTTCGTTCACTGGCGACGGATTCGAGTTTCCTTATCGGATGGAATACTGTGTGGAACGCTGTGGTACAGTTTTAGTCCCATTCGGCCCGTCAGGTATCAAAGGGCATTCTTTTTAATTGCTATTCGCCCGGATAACCAAATGCTAATGCGCGGAAAAACGAAATAATTCACTAAAAACACTGGCCTATGTTGACTGTTCCGGTTTCTCCGAAAGATTTGCAACTCTGGTGTAGAAAGATGGGTAGGTCAAAGAAGAAGCAAATTTGTTTGCAAATGAGTGTATTCCGCTAGTTTCGCGCAATGTGGTTTCAAGAACACGAGATTGACGGAAACTTGGGGACTGCGCCTACTTGATGGGCCCCAAGAAGGGTAGAACCGGTCGTGGGCTGTCGAATGCTTTTCAGCAACCTTATAAGTAGTGCATTGTGCATAGCCACAGCCTATTTCGCTTTTACGTTCAGCGTGCTATGCTGTCCACGAGGAAGGTATACAAGTCACAGCTCTTCTTGACACGGGAATCCTTGAACTTTCAATAATCCTACGTGAGTCTTCGGTCTCTAGCGTTTCATGATGTCAGTAGAATTCTGCTGTTATCATCTTCCACAGAAGAGTATTGTTGAGTTTCCCGATACGGAACTTTGAGTGACGCGTAGGTTCGAACGAATATCAAATATCAACTTTGTTATCTTACGATTGTTCCATTTAAAAAAAACATAATATGACCTTTGTGCAACACACCCAGTTGAAAGAGACAGAGATTTGACCGGTATTCTCCGGTTAATTCCAAGTTTTTTATACATGGTTGCATAACTTCGGAACAGGACGTTGATCTGTTCTATCTGGTAGGCACTTCATTGCACACGTCACCAAACAAGGTGACGTCATCGGTGCATTGCTGGGGGACGGAACAGTGCGTCAGCACCACTGACGAAACAGCCTGACTGACCAGTATTCTATTCAGTAGCGTGCAGTGCTCAAGGAACTGGGTCACAATTGGATTTCTTCTGACACGGCAAGCCTACAGCCGCAAAGAACTATGTTTCCTTTATAAGTTATCATGTGGGAATTCGCTTCCATCTGGCATCATGCACCGACCGGCGTTAGAGTATTCACATGTCTGGTTCAACTAATCAACCAAAAGGTATCCTGGATCTTCTACAGTGAACTTCGTCTTATTGGTGGGCAGCACATTCCAACAACTGTCATCCGTTTATCCAATCTTGTCACGAATATCATGTTTTGCATCACGTAACGTTGTTCGTCCTCGTGAGTCACACTTGAGGAGCTGACGGGAGTGGAACCTTAAGCTCATTCCTGTTACTAGCTGACTACACCACCATGTTGTTAGACGGAACTCCACACGGATCCCGCTTTAACGCTTGCAGTCAGGTGCTGCTACGTACGAGAAGCCCATCCCACGCAAGAGTGGCCAAAATCTCCAAGAGTGACTTGCCTTTTCGGCATCAAGCCGAGATCTGACTGGCCGAAAGTCCGGACCCAACAGCCAATCACAACCCACTATGCGCCAAATGGCGTTTGCCAATGGCGCATCCAGAACGCGTCAGAATTTTCAGAGTTATAACCACATACCCTATATATATGAAGCGCTGTACAAGTGTTTCTGACTTCGTTTTGGGCGTTAATATACCTTTTGCAACTTTGGTTGTTGCTTTGACGTGAACGCTAACTTGGGAGGATCAGACCGAGGACGAAGCTGAGAAAAATACCCTTACTACACATGCGGAACAGTTGCGCAATCACTTGGCACAACTCCTCTAACTGACTCCGTTATTGCCCCATTCCTCAGTCACTTGGCTAAACCCCCTCTCTAATCAATATTTCTCCTTGTTCAATACTACACTTTCGAATTCAGCCGAATGATTCACGCTTTGAACTACTCCAGGGCATGATTACCACATTGGTGATTAGCTTTTAGAAAAACGTTCATCCGGTGGCCTACGTTTCTCAGATTTTAGGCTCAAATCATGTCTGATATAAACTATTGATTGTTGATCGGATGGCATCCAATCGCTGGCTTCCAACCGTTTCGTCGCCACACGAGCAAATATCGTCAAAGTAGCACTAAACTCGCATTTCGCATCTCCAAGGTCAAAAGTTTACGATCGAACTCAGATTCATTGGAATCAGTTTGAAAACCGAACGCAGGAACATTTATCTCACTGAATGGACAGACTGTGTTCTCAGGTTCTCCAATAGAGGTACTTGAGGAATATCACATTTGGCCCGGTGTGGTAAACTTACGTGGGCCGTGGAACCAGATCACTGGTGATGCGGTACCAATCAATATCACAAACGCCATTACCTCCACCGATATTCAGTCTTACTGACCAGTGCTGTTTTCTTTGTTTCAAAATCAAAATGCAGCCACAAGAATGCGGGCTTTTGAGAGACTTTCATCGCTCTTGCAGATGGCCTCTGGTGTAATGGTGATGTGAAATGCTCCTCCCGAATATGACCCCTCCTCCTACATTTTATGAGCGATGAAAATTCCACCATGTTAGTACTTTTTACGGATTACTGCCCTCTCGTCTTTACACCCTTGGTAAGGTTTTGTCCCCAACTACGCAGGACATAAAGAAGGGCGTTGTAACTCCTAAAAGCATGCCAAACACTCCGTTTTGCAACGAGTGCTGATCGCCGGACAGGCTGACTGACCTCAGAGCTGTATGACCCACGAATCTTGAGACGCACAGTAATATCTTTGTACCTGCATCCAAGAAACACCTCGAACAAAGCAAGGATCTTAGCAATGTAGAAGCGGTTTTTCCGACTAACAAACACAACTTTACAGTGTGAACTATGTGCATTGGTAAACTCTGAATAGTCCAGCATAGATCATGCTAATTCCATACTCTCATGAAAACAAAACATCCAAACAGCAATTGAATATTCGAGCAGTGTAATTCTGTACACGGAAACTTTGTTAGCTGCCCAATTCAAGAAGCAGTGTAATACAGGCTCAGCTGAAAAGAGAAGGGCACTTCACCGGAGGAAACGCCTTTTTCTTGAATCTTCGGGAACAAATTAGTGATTCGTTCGTTTAGCAAACCTCAGTTCCCAACTAAAGTTCATGCACCAGAGAAAACAAACTCATCCGTTAGTTGCTTTCCTGTTTAAAATTCACAAATGTAATCAGAATGATGTGAAATCGAGAAATGATATCACAAAAAAACAGTCAACTGGACTTAAATTGCCCAAATTACTTTTCGAATAAGTGTATTCCACAGCTTGGATACAGTTTGGTGTTCAAGTGGAAAACGATCTTGATGTCGACGCCAAGATAAGGCAAACCTAGCTGGCCGCATATTTTCTGTCCAGGACTTTCATCAACCGCATGTATGGTATTGTAAACAAACGATTTTGAGCGGCACATTCAGGTGAAGAATAGAGAGCAAGAGAGATTAGGCTGTCTTCCCTCATCACAAACTTAGTGTTACATCTGCTGATTCGCCAATCTGAGGTATCTGTTACTGACTCGCTTCAGGGCCCAGTTGCCAAAAAGACTCACAGAAAGGAACACAACAGCTGTATTCCGAACAAGCGAGTGCGAGAGCAAGAGCAAAAGTTACAACGGCCCCACGCTATTTGAAGGGGACTTTCTGACATTGATCCAGGCTGTCTGATAGGCGTTAGTGAACACCCATCAACATCGATCGCGCCTCTATGAAATGCCTGAACGCTGATCACATCCGGTTGCCCTTCTGTGGTGTGCATGAACGCTCATCAGCTTTTGCTGAACTGATTGAATGATTGACTGGCCTGGATGCTTGCCGGCTTTCCTGTTGAGATTTTGGTGGAGCAGTAGGTTCCGGGCGTTCTGAGGTTACTTTCAGGTTTCTGACCTTTCTGATACTTAGTTGGTACAGTTTTTTACTTTGTTTGGAATTCAACCCAAGAGCTACGTTGAAGTGAAGAAGGGTGTGGCCTCTGAACTTTCTTTTCAGTGTCCAGGACCAAACTAAGGCAATCGCAGTTCTTCGGATGATTTAGGCGGTGACGGTCTCATGAACGCTTGAATGAGTATTGAGAATCCACGGACCACAGACAAAAACTAGACGGTGCATTCAGATTTGTGAATCCATGACAACAACGTTCTGGGCAGCGGTTGGTCTATTGGGTCCGATGAAGGTTACCACCACATCAAAACAGCTCACTCAATGCATATTTGAGGGGTTATTATTCCCGCTCACAGTTTTACACACCAAATGGAAGATGTTCACAGAACAAGCTAATCTGAAAAGGCTTTGGAATTTAGCGAATCCATCAAAGACAACAAGGACACACCACTCACAAGACTGTTGAAAACTTCCCAACAGCCCACAATGGGCGTCTCCTCCCTTGAGGCTCATCAGATAAGCGCGTTCCCCAAATTCTATCTGAATAACTAATTGTAGGCAGTTGTTGAAATGCATTTGTTTGGAAATTAATTTGTTTTTATCAGGAGAATCCCACATGAGGACCTCGTTTTTATGGTAATCCTCAGGTGAGCCAACTGCACAAAGTCCGCCTCATGTTTCAATACAAACGTCATCCTTTATCGTTCCTCGTGGATTTCCGAAAAAACTCCGGCTTCTAGCAACCCGAGAGCCCATAATGCACATAGCTTCACAAGCTTATTCCTAGTGATTTATTTGACGGGTGAGCCCTTTGAACGAAAGATCAATGAGGTCGAAAAGGCCTTTATCACTAACATACTTACTATTTTCGACAGTGAATGAAGCCGGATACACACTTGATGATGTTCAAAAAAGGAAACTCCTGCAGTTCCACTCATTTCAGTCCTCATTCAAGACGTCTCCTTCTGATGGCTTTCCCCGAAATATGGGGACCACTGTTGATCAGAAACACGGTACGGACGCCCTGGACAAACTGGTACCAAATCAAGCAAGTGATTCCTTAACGCTACGGTGTGGCAAGATGAGGTATTTTAAGCAGCAATACGGCGAGATGAAGCGTAATGACTCGGCATAAGGGGTCGCGGGCATCTGGTGAATGATTAGCATGAATTAACTCGGGATGAGTTCTAACACAAGAGGCAGCACTGATTAGGCATATTCCCGAGCCAAATTGTTAGTGCACATCAGATCCTGCGAGTAGAACTCTTTGGGAGGGTCCATTATACATATACATATACATGAACGCAAAATTTGATTAAGTAAGTAAAACGTAGTTAACTAAGGAAACCGTTACAAAAATTTCTGTTATTAGTAGCAACATATAGGAGGTTTTGTGTGCAAGTGTTGGCATTTTTTTGTAATCACGAAAGATTTCATTACATGCAATGAAATTGTGAAACTCTATTATTCCCTTGGTGAAAGCGCCACCGCTGCACTTCGTGGTTACGAAACCAAACATGGTCTCATCAAAGATCCTTTCATCGTGTCG